GTGATTTCAGGTAACAATAGCTAAGCACAGTTTTGCAGCATTTAAGGTTTGTTTACAGAGCCACCAGTTTGTTTGTTTGTTATTCAGTTTTATACTGAGTAATGCACCTAATCAATAATCTAATCAATTAATAACAAGTATTATATATTTGATTAAAGGTTTACTCAAGGAAGGACTTTGCCATATACAAAATTAAAAAAAGCAATATACTTCCCTCGACACCGGCTTGAGTTTTGAAAATCAGGATACATGTATTTATTATCCTTGCACGATTTTTCTAACAATACTTTAATAACACAAGTAGACAGACGATAACTTGATTACTTCTTAACACATTTGATCCAAAGCGAATAAGATGTAAATCAGTGGTTCCCAACAACCTATCAAAGAGGGACATGAAAAAGCAAATGGATCATAAGACAATCAAAATGCTGATGTATAATGTTTACCATGTTGACCAGCTTGCTTAAGCATCATAGCCTTCTTAAAAAGCACAGTACAGCTGCATCTGATGGAAATGCCATTCATTTTAGAGGTTTTGAGCATAAAGTATTGGAAAGACTTGTTTTACTAGAGGAAAGCCAGTTACCAAAAGTAAGCATTACTTTGTTAGATTGACTCCAGAGGAAGACATGAATGCCTCAACCACAGGATGAAGGAAAAGTCTAGGGATCAGTGAAATCCTGGAATGTCTGTAAAAATAATTCTGAAATCCACTACTTTTGAATCATTAATCAAAAATAGTGTTTAACTTCATCTAATCTGCCTGAATGCAACCTGTAATGGGCCTGTTCAGGGGCTACAAGCCATACGTTTGGGAATGATTACTCCAAAAGCACTTTCTTTTGTTTCACCTAAACACAGCGATAAGGAGTTCTTGATTGACATGTAGTTATCTGTCTTCTGTTTGTCTCTACACAGCGGTCTGTCCAGGATGATAAACGCAAGCCCAAGAAAGAGGAGTGAGTAGCAAGTTCTTATTTCAACCCTCTATTCAACAACTTCAGTCTTTAAGAGGTTGGCTTGCTGCCTGCCTCCCTGGCACACCGAGTCAGGAGTAATGACTGAGCTCAGCACCAACATAAGGACGGCGTCTCTGGGTCCAGACTTAATGATCTACTGAATAACACACATCCTCTGTGATATTAATTACTATCACCTTTCACTTTCGTTACACTTGCTAAATACACTAACATGTATCGTTAGGCATCAGAAGTGCTTGGTTCAGCCGTATATAAGGTACCTTATATATATATTGCTATTAAAAAGCACTAGAAAGCCTGTGTGGATGTGTGCTCTCATGCATATGCTAGTCATATAGGCCACATAGTGAGTGTACCTCCCAGAGTGAAGGGGTGCAGATAGACTGATATGGCTTTGCTGAACAAGAAGAGGCGTCGGGTACTTAATCACAGCAGTCTGAAAGGACACACACACCTTGATGTGCGCACACACACACACACACACACCGTGCGACACAGTCCTAAACATCAAGGGTAATCATTTGTTTGCAGATAAATAAAGCCAGCGATGGACAGGAGCAGTTTACATGCATCATTAGGGAAGAGAAGGTCAGCAAGAAAGATAGCATCTGTGGCTAAAGCTGACAGCAGGGGCTGATGGGAAGGCGCGGGTGGTACCAGGAGAGGAAAGGAGACAAAGGTGATGATTAAATAAATTAAAGTGGTGTTTCAGTGGCTCTCTGGGGCTTATCTAGAAACAACATTACTTTTAGCTAAATGCTAGCATGCTATAAATGTTAACAATAGCAGTGCTACAAGTGTCATAGTTGTCGGGTAAGTTTGAGATGTTTTAGTTTAGAGTTAGCATGATAATATTTGTTAATTAGCCTTAAAGCAGGGCTCTCCAACACGTCTACTACTGAACTACTGAAAAGTTATCGATTATAGCGTAGTAAGGTTGCTTCTTGATTTTTCGGCCGTGGCTGGACAATAACGTTTTTTTATTTTAGAATTGTTTCTGTCACACGAATATCAAATTGGTCCGTGACGCAGAGATCAAGGAACAGACGTGACAGCGGCACAGCGACACCACACACGGAGCAGTCTGATTTCTATACCAACACCAGTCCAGAACCAACAGCAGAATGACCCGCTCTGAATCAGGCCCTGTCGCTGCGGCTCAGAGACACACAGGGAGGGATTTGTGTTTTTTGAAAAACACTCGTTATCATCATGTCAGGTTTTTGGTGGATTTAATCAAGTCTTGGATTGCAGAGTATGAATGTCCTCTTGATATTTTCAGTTGATAAATACTTGTGTAAAGTTTGTGAAGGCAGGAGGAAAGCTTCCGCAATCACCGTCTCCTCTCCGTTCCTCCAAACCCCGCCCCCCCTGAAAATAATGAGTGACAGGCTGATAGTGACCTGAAGTTTTAGTTTTTTGTTTTTGAGGATGGAACAATTTCACACAGAGATATAGGGAGGCTAGACCTATACAATTGATTTATTATGGTTTATAATTTAATGTCAAGACGAAGAAGAAGAAGAAGAAGAAGAAGAAAAAGATGGCTGAACTGTTCAGTGTCAATCCAGTGGAGATGGAGATGGAGGTTATAAATCTCCAAAGTCATGTTCAGCTCAAGTCTCAGCAAAACTCACAACATTTCTGGAGCCGTGTAGACGCAGAAAACTATAAGAACATTCACCAAGCAGCACTGAAAATGTCTGCTTTATTTGGCTCTACATACAGTACCTTTGTGAAGCAGCTTTTTCTGACATGAATGTCATGAGATCTAAATACAGAACAAGATTGACTGATGAACATTTAAATGACTATTAGAGGGAACCTAAGTGGGTCCAGCATACACCTCTCTGGTGGTCTCCATGCAGTGCCATTCATCTCACTGACTGTAAAAAAGAGTGAATGCACTTATTGTACACATGTGCCATAAGATGCGTGGTGATTCAGGACATGTATGGGAATTCTCAGTGAAGTACTCACTATGTGGGCCAAAATAATATGTGAGAAATGTTTGTTTTCTTGGACCTTGATGTGAAGTTAAGATTTGTGATAAGCTTTAGGTATTGCAATTTCACACGTGTACAAAAGTAGCTTAATTCAACTGATGAGGGCTATGTGAATAAATGGAAGCGATGTGATGCAAGTAGCTCTTGGCCACTTTCATTTTTTCAAAGTAGCCCTCAGATGAAGAAAGGTTGGAGAACCCTGCCTTAAAGTATAGCTGAGGATGATGTGAATGTCATTACTTTTGCAGGAATTTGGTCATTAAAGGGAAAATATGCCACCTTTTAATTTGTTTGTCTGCTCAGTGATGATAGCAAGTAAGTCACTTGACACAATCAATTCCTCAGTTGTGAATTTAGTCTTTTATCAAATCTTAGCCAAAATATGGTGATAGAGTGCACCTTTTTATTTAAAGTTATCCTCCAACTGGTATGGTTCATCCTGGAGGTGGGCATGGATGCCTGAAACTTATTTTATGGCAGTCAATACAAAATGTGTTGGGAATATTTCACTCAAAATCACAAACAACAGCGCTGTGAAAATATTGTCTTCTCTCATCACAATGCTAATATTTGCGCGCCTCGCCCAACAGTCTTTTCTTCGATAGGACTTGGTGTTTTGTTTTTCAGTATGGACTGATGAATGTTGACACTTCTGATATTTCAGTACTACAGCCACGGAGACACTGATTTCCAATAGCCATTGTCACGTATTTCGATAATGTGAGACTTATTGATCTCCACATGGAAACTGTTTTTCTCACTTGTGTCCATATAGAGGTCAGCGTGTAGGTTCTGCTTCATGAGAGCATCCCTGAAGCTGAGGAGCCTGTGTGGTGCTGATGGACAAATTCAATATTCTTGCAAATACTGTCAGCTTGATAATTATTATCCTTTTTCTCCTTTATTCTCTCATGGTCAGTTAAATGCAAGTCAATTTAAGTGTCTCAAAACATCAGGACATCGACTGGAGCAACAACACATACTGTATTGTTTATTTTTGTCAGTTTATTTCCTTGGGGTTTTGTTTGCCTTTCTTATTGCTAAAGTTATTTTCAAAAATGAATACCAAAACACATTTCTGTCAAATTCAGCTGGCAAATCATTTACTTAAAGAGTTGTTTTCCCCTTCGCAGAAAGCAAATGAGCGTAAACAAAGTACTAGAGAACATTTGGGTCTCAAAAAGCATATTTTTATGTTGGAGATAACAAGAAATCAATAAAAACAAGAAGACTAAGGTTACTTTGTATATAGATCCAATTCAAACCAAAGCTGCAATCCTCTTATGTTGAAGAAAAGGACGAATGCGTGTTCAGGTGGCAACACTAACATCCACCATTCATTTGTGAGTGTTTGACAGATAAGTAAACAAACAGGCTTTTTAAAGAAAACACATACTGAGGCTTACTACTTCGATCAAAGCAAAAAGATCACAGTTGTGTGCTTTCTGAAAATATCTAAACAACAGCCTTATCAGAAATAAAAAAAATACAGACAATGTACGTATAAGAAATACAATGTGTGCTATTGACATATTTGCAGTAAAAAGAAGAAAGATGGCATTTAACTACTCAGGGGGGGAACAAATTGTATGAAGACAACATACACACTATACTGTACAGAAAGTATACTTTGGGGTTCTGAGAGAAAATAGATCCAGTTTTAGGCACTTTCATGAATGTGTTGTGTGTGTGTAAAAAGGCTTTTTGATCATGAATCTTGAATTTCTTTATTTTTAAAAGTTGAAACAACAATATTGAAAAGAAAGCAAATCAGAAGAGAAGACTTGTTTATTAAAAATCTCAAAGTCTCTATTCAAACAATCACCGAAAATAATGTTGCCTGAAAATGTCTGATTGACCTCTGAGTCTCTCCTCTCTAACATCCATCCCCTCTGTGTGTGCTTCAGTCCAGAGAAGCTGCTGGATGTAGAGGACCAGTACTACAGGGAGCTTTCCACCAGCCGCTCTGAACCCAGCATCTCCTCCAAGGACACATCCCCCAACAGCAGGCCGGAGAGGAGGAGGTCCATGGAGAGGAGGAGGTCCATGGAGAGGAGGCCGTCTGCAAAACAGACAGCAGCTGGCAGCAGACCGACCCGAGCGAGGGCCGTCACCGAACCAGAGCCTGCCAAACCTGTCGGGGACAACAGGTACGTCCCTGTGCTGGATCTGAAAAATAAACGTTGGGATCCGTAAGAGAAATGGCTTCATATCTGACAGGTCATATATTTGACCTCCCTGTCTGGAAACAGCTATAGATTCAATGATCAATGCGAAACAACAGTGCAATGTTGGTGATCATCAGGGCAAACCTGGCCTCCAATATCAATGTGGTCGATCTAAAATCTTTTTAAAGAAGCAGATTTAACTGCATGTTTAAGCAGACACACATATTTTCACTATCATAGTTACCATTACCATTTTTTACCATTTTAATTTGATGACTTTGGTCCTGTAGCAAACATTTTTTTTTTAGTCCTTTCTAAACCACAACTCATGTTAGTGCCCTCCTTCAGGTATCTCCAATTATTGCTGATTGAATGTCTGTATACTCTGACCACATGATGCAATATACTTGATGCATTTGTAGGCAAACTATGCTGCAGTTTTGTTTATTAACTTATTTAGAACACACTAATATTTATGTATTTTGTATTAACAGCAAGCATTTGAATGAATTTAGATGTATTGATAATCCAGTTTAGTTTATAGAAAATGGTTTACAAAAAATGAGCTGCTACATGATGGATACAGAGAGATCCTGAGGCATTCTACAAATTGTGTTGGTTTAAGTTAGGAATTAGCTTGATAGCAATTGTGTATGGCAACCATGAGGTACCTGCACCTATCAGGATCAGTGTTTGTTTCTTCACAGATTATCTTTCCCCACAGAACATGCTCCCACACTTGCATTCTGATTCCAGTTGACAAAGTGACAAATCCATGTAGCAA